GAACCCTGAGCTGGGTGCCTGTTGTGGGGCTGGGAAACCTCACTTCTCAGGGAGGACCTTCGTAGCCGAGGTGTCCCTCCTGATTTTTATCTGCCACACGTGGGTGTGGGACCAGCCTGGCCACGCCTCTGCCTCTCCTACCAGTCTCAATGTGGCTTCTTTAATTTCATACTTGTAGGACTTTCATTCAGTTCAGTTTCAGGTGGTTCTGAATGACAGTTCGGTAGTTTAGTTGTAATTTTAATGTGCTTGTGGGAGGAGGTGAGTACTGCAGTTACCTACGTTGCCATCTTGACTGGAAGTCTCTCTCTCTCTTTTTTAAATTAATTAATTATTTAAAATCCTCACCCAAGATTATGTTGTTACTGATTTTAGAGAGAGAGGAAGGGAGGGAGTGAGGGAGGTTGAGAGAGAGAGATATTGACCCCCCCCCCCCTGTACCAGTCCTGCCTGGGAATCGAACCTGCAGCTTAGGTATGTGGTGTCCTCACTGGAATTGAACCCACAAACTTTTGGTGTACTGGACGATATTCCAACCAGCTGAGCCACCCGGACAGGCCTAGATGTGTACTCTTGAGCAAGTTATTTTACCTCTCTGATCCTGTTTTCTTAGCTGTAATAATACTACCAGGCTTATAGAATTATTGTAAGGAACAAATAGGTTAATGTGAAGCATTTTGCAGTTAGCAACATTACCTAGTCCTGGTTTTCTTTTTGTTGCTAATACTTTGTCTCCTCTGCTAACTTTTCCTTCTCTTAAATGTTACTGTTCCTCTGAGCTCAAATCTAAGTAACTGTCTCTACTCTTCACCTGGATATTTCACTTTTCTTTGTTCTTGGCTTCCAGATTCCTAATCCAAAGCTCTTTTCTGAACTCCAGACCTTTATTATTCAACTGTATTTGGCATCACCAGTTTGTCCACTTCTCTCAATTTTTACTGCCATCAGATTAGCCCAAGCCATAACCTTAGTATAGGCTTCCTCATCTATTGCTTTTAAAGAATTGTAATTGTCTCTTAGTTGGTCTCTCTAAATCCTCTTTGGTCTCCAATTCATTTTTCATGCAGAAGACAGAGTGATCTTTTAAAAAATTTGAGTCTAATTATGTTATTCCTTACTTAAAGCCCTTAGATAATTTGCCATTTCAAGTCCAAAATGCTGCATATGGCTGATGAAGTCTTACTACTTTCTTTCCTCACAACTCTTGAGCCACTGTAGGTTCCTTTTAGTTTCTCAAGTGCACCGAGCTGCAGGGGCCTGCCCCTGTGCCACTTTTCACTTCTTCCTTTCTTCGTCTTGTTACTCCCACCCACCCTTTACCTCTCACCCTCACAAGTTACTCAAATAAGTCTTCTCAGACGACCTTTTTCGCTGCCTTTTATAATTCTTGATAAATCAGGGCCTTTTGAATAATTGGCCCTTAGGGAGCTAAATAGCTGATCTTCCTGCAGCATTCAGCAAATATTGATGGAACCTCTTGGGAAGGACTTGAGTAGGAGCCAGATAGTCTGGGCATCTGGTGTTCTGTGATAGTGAGCTCACTATCACACAGTTTGAGCCACTTCACACAGTTTTGTAAGAGGGTGAGGAGGGGATGAAGGAAGAAAGCTCTATATTCCTGGATTCTTGGGATCAGATAGCAGCTCTGATGGCCGACTGAGGCAATTCCTCGGAAGGGCAGCGTGGAGTGAGGGCAGCCTGCAGCTTCAGCTGAAGTTCAGGCAGCATAGCTGTGTCTTCTGGACATCTTGGTTTTTCCTCCCCAGCTGTCTGTCCCAGTGCCTTGTGTACTCCCCTCGGTCGCTGCTGGTCCTCACCCAGCCAGCTTCAGGGCTCTGGCTTTTTCACAAGATAGTTGCTTGGAACCAAAAGGAAAAAAAAAACCCAGTAAACTCAATTAAGAAAATACACCAGCCCGGCTGTTGTGGCTCAGTGGTTGAGCGTTGACCCATGTACCAGGAGGTCGCTGGTTCGATTCCCAGTCAGGGCACATGCCCAGGTTGTGGGCCAGGTCCCTGGTGGGGGGCATGTGGGAGGCAGCCAGTTGATGTTCTCTCTCATTGATGTTTCTCTCTCTCTCTCTGAAATCAATAAAGGAAAAAAAAAAAAGAAAGAAAGAAAATACACCAAAGCTACCTTACAGGTACAGGTAAAATTGTAATAATAAATGCAGAAGGCTTTTTGCAACTGCTTTGTACACTTTTGCGAGATGTAAAGATCTGGAGATTTAGTTATATAACAATGTAAATATACTTAAAATGAATTGTACCTTTAAAAATAGTTTAAATGATAAATTTTATGTTTTATCACAGTTTTTAAAACAAAAGAAAAACTATAGGTCTTAGAAATTTTCAATAAATAAATTTCAAGTCTTTTTTCCTTCGGGTGAGGAGGAAATGACATATAGCTATTTAACAATGAACCACAAGGAAAGTATGAAAAATTTAGAATTTCTTTTTGGATCCTGGAGTTGGTTATCTGTTGCAATTAACCATGGTAATAAATAATCTTTAATTTAAAAGTAATATATGTTTATTAAGGAAAATTTGAGTACAGAAAAGTAGGCAAAAAGAAAAATCATCTATAATCCTACTGCTAAAACATCTTTGTTGTGAACATTCTGATATATTTCCTTCTGATCTCTTTTCTTTGTGTAGATATGGGCTTGTCTTTACATATGGTCCAGTCATATTGAGCCTCCAGTTTGGGGCCCTGCTTTTTTTTTTAATCCTCACCCGAGGACATTTTTGCATGTATCTTCAGATAGAATGGGAGGGAGAATGGGAAAGAGAGAGAGAGAAACATCGATGTAAGAGAGACACATTGAGTGGTTGCTACCCACATGACCCCAACGGGGACTGGGGATAAACTGCAACCAAGGTACGTGCCCTTAGTGGGAACCGAACCCGGGACTCTGGTCCGCAGGCCGACGCTCTAATGGCTGAGCCAAATCGGCCAGGGCTGGGCCCTGCTTTTGACAGTGTTGTATCTCAGGCTTCAGTTGACCGGCTGCCTCTTTATTCCCTTGAGTGAGTGTCATAATTTATTTAGGAGTTCTTATGTTATTAGTCATTTATGATTATTTCCATTTCTTTGCTTTTATCTTAAAACTATTTTTTTTTGTTGTGGTAAAATATATGTAATATTTGCCACTTTAGCCATTTTTAAGTGTACAATTTAATGCATTGATTACATTCACAGTGTTGTGTAACTATCACCACTATGTATTTCAAGAATAATTTATCACCACAAATGGAAACTACCCAATAATCAGGAACTTCCCATTCCCTCCTCCTAAACCCTGACTACCTCTAATCTACTTTTGGTCCTTATGAATTTGCCTGTTCTAGATATTTTTTAATCTTCACCCGAGGACATTTTTTTTTGCATTTATTTTCAGATAGAGTGGGAGGGAGGGAGGAAGAGAGAGATAGAGAAACATCAATGCGAGAGAGACACATCAAGTGGTTGCCACCCACATGACCCCAAATAGGGCCGGGGACAAACTGCAACCGAAGTACATGTCCTTAGTGGGAACCAAACCCGGGTCTTTCTGGTCCGCCGGCTGATGCTCTAACCGCTGAGCCAAACCAGCCAGGGCTATTCTATTTTATATAAATGCTAGATATTTTATATAAATGGAGCACGTAATATTTGTCTTTTTGTGTCTGCTTATTTCACCTTGCATAATGTTTTCAAAGTTTGTGCATGTTGTAGCATGTATCAGAACTACATTATTTTAATGACTGAAAATCATTTTATTGTGTGGTTATACCATATTTGTTTATCCATCCTTCTGTTGATGGACACATGGATTGTTTCCATCTCTGGCTATTGTGAATAGTGCTGTGATGAGCCTTAGCACACAAGTGTGTGTTTAGTCTGTTTTCATTTTTGGGAGTTATGTACCTAAGAATGGAATTGCTGCGTCATATGGTGGTTCTTTTTAAAAATTTTTAAAAATATGTTTTTATTGATTTTGTTAAGAGAGAGAGGAAGGGAGAGGGAGAGAGAGACAGAAACATTGATGAGAGAGAAACATCGATCAGCTGCCTCCTGCACACATTCCACTGGGGACTGAGCCCACAACCTGGGCTTATACCCTGACCGGGAATTGAACCTGAGACCTCTTGGTGCACAGGATGATGCTCAACCAACTGAGCCACAATGGCCGGGCTCATATGGTGATTCTCGGTTAACTCTTAGAGGAATCACAAAACTCTTTGCTTCTTTAATTGTAAATAATGCTTAAATGAATATCTGTATGTATGAAGCTTTTTTTCCCTTTATAAAAATATTTTTTTATTAACTTAGAGAGGAAGGGAGGAGAGAGAGAGAAACAGTCTGCTGTAGAGCCTACAACCCAGGCATGTCCCCTGACCAGGAATCAGACCGGTGACCTCTTGGTGCGTGGGTTGATGCTCTGCCAACTGAACCACACTGTCCAGGGCTGCATGAAGCTTTTTGACATTTGTATTTATTTCTTTAAATTTCTTGAAATGAAATTAATGGGTGACAGTTTGAAATATAATGCCAAATGCTGTCCAAAAGGATTGAACCTCTTATGCTGTGGCCACAAGTGTCTGAGAATGCCCTTATCACCAAAACATCGTTGCTCTGGATATTTCCATTTGAGTCTTAGTGATGTTGTCTATGTCTGATAGAACCATAGTCTGGCCACAGAGGGGCTTACCTGACATAGCTCCTGGTCACCAGCCCTGAGTCCTTCTTCCTCCCATTCTCCTGTCCCTGATGCTGACCCAGCCCAGTCTTCAGGTCCTATTAGATCTGACTTTCTGACCCATCTCTGGTTTGTCCCTTTCTCCCCATTTGCCCAGCAAGAATGAGGTCAATTTAGTGTATAAAGGGTGTTTTCTAGCTCTGTGACCTCCCCTTGCCACTTTGCCTTTTCTCCAGAAGACCTAAGGCCTTTGTGGTAGCTTCCCACTTGGACTGATTCTCACACCTTTCCTGTCTTTTGTTGTGCTCTTCTCTTCCAGTTCTACAGCGAGTCGGGCATGCCTACCAAACACCTCTCGGACAGCATGTGCGCCGTGTGTGGGCAACAGATCTTTGTGGATGTCAGTGAAGAGGGCATCATCGAGAACACATACAGGCTGTCTTGCAATCATGTGTATCCGCCTGGAGCTCCTGGGTCACATGCACACTGCAGTCAGGGAGGGAAGGGGGTGTGCTGCCCCAACCTTGGAGTGTAGTAAAGTCACAAGAGCTGCAGACATTCGAGTGATATTCCCTGTTAGAGAAGCAGACACCCAGGAGTGGAAACTGCAGTCTTGCTCACTCTTTCCCACAGATAGGAGCCACTCTTATGTAAACGGTGTTCTTAGCCTGGTGGGTCAGAAAGGAGCCTGACGCTGCCCCAGCTGCCCCAAGATTGGGTGGGTCACAGGGGAGGAGCATCTGCTAACTGGATCCCTTAGTTTCAGAATCAGATCTCCCTGAATAATGCTTCTAAGATTTGTCATGTACCCAATTCCCATTTTGCCCCCTAACAACCCTGTAAGGTAGAGATGATTATTCTCACTCACATATGAGCAAATAGTTTCAGAGAGAAGGGACTTGCCCGAGATTATACAGCATACAGCATATAAGAGGTGAAGCCAGGCTTTGAGCCTTTCTCCAGAGCTAGTGTATGGGCACCTTGAAGACTGGCTGAGCTGGGTGCCATGCTGGCTGCCCACCAGTATTTCCCTTGACCAGTGGTGCCTAGATTCCACGAGTTCTGCATCCGCGGCTGGTGCATTGTGGGAAAGAAGCAGACGTGTCCCTACTGCAAAGAGAAGGTAGACCTCAAGAGGATGTTCAGTAACCCGTATCCTTTGTTTGGATTCTTTTTGGGAGTGGGCAGTGGGAAGAAAGCACTGGCCAATGTGACCCTGCATTTGAGTCCTAGGGCCTTTCCTCCTGCCCCCAATCTGGTATATGTCCACCATTCTATTTGGCTTCAGGTCTAAGGAAGTTGGGGGTAGAACGGGGGCAGGACTGATGCCTCGGCTTCTCTTCATAGTTCTAAAACCCTGAAGGCTAAGTTGCAGTTGGTAGTCATAGCAGCTGCCACTTCCTGCTTGCTTACTGTGTTCCTGGTGCTGGGTTAAGTGCTCTACTCATATTCATCTCAGTTGATTCTCTAGCAACTTAACGACCTGGTAATAGTCTCAATTTGCAGGTGAAAACAGTTGAGATATTGAATAACTTCTTCAGGGTTACATATGACATGCAGGGCTGGAGACTAGCTCTGTGCCTGTGCAGGGTCTGTAGGTGCAGGGGTGGCTGAGGGACCCCCTGCCCCCATCCACTTCCTTACTGCTAACCTTCCCTCCTCATTCTGTACCTTCACCCTCCTCATTCCCCTCACAGCCACTTCTCTGCCTGCCTTTCTCTTTCCCTGGGATCCAGAGACCCAGCTTTCTCCCTTTGCCTCCTAGCTGCCCATTTTCTCTGTCCCCTGGACACCAGCTGGGCTCTGTGGGAGCCACTGCATCCCCAGTACATTTACACAGTCCCTGAACAGGAGACAGGCCCTTTCAGGTTCCTTGCTCATTCTTGCAGGGACTAGTTGAAGAACAATTAAGTAACTTCATGGCCAAGCTGATGGTTGGGACTTCCCTCAGTTCTCAGCAACTAGGCCAGGCTGCTTTCTGATGCCTTTCCCAGAGGTTTCCCCCCAGTCTCAGGAATTCAGCCTGTGCTTTCTCCTAACCTGGAATCCCAGGCTCTCTTTCCAGGTGTCTTGCCCGAGCATTTAGTTGTAAAGCACAAGGAAGGGAATTCATTTCCAGAGCCATTTGGCCTCAGTAGGGCCTAGTGCTTAGTGCCTCTGGGTAGGGATTCCTTGGGGCCCCTCCCAGGGGTTATCTACTGCAGCTAGCTCTTGTTCCCTTCTGCCTCTGTGCCTAGACTCAACCTTTCCTTGACCTAGAAAGCGTTTCATGTTGGACATTACCAGAACCTGGAGGGTTACCTTATTTAACTCCGCTCTCCTGTAGCCATTGTCACAGGTATATTTGCAGCAGTCTCAGGCTGTGTTCTCATACTGCCTGTTCCATCTGAGATATGTTACATGGATGACCCTCTCTCCATGTCGGTCAGTCATGGAGAGCTTAGTTTCACCTCTCCATCCCCGTCTTCTACACTGGTCCCTTCTGCCTTCCTTCCCCCATTCTCTGGCTTTAGCCTTTAGTTCCAACATGGAGAGACTGGTGGGGCTTTCTAGAAAACAGCTGCCTTTCCTTGAAGGCTGGTTCTATGGAGCAGCTGGAAAGTGTTGGCAGTCCCAGGGAGGACATGGGCAAACCCTCTGACCCATCCCCTACCCATTCTTAGCAGCTCTATGCACCGCCCCTTTCCTTTAACACACTGGCAGCTGGGAGAGGCCCCACGTCATGTATGGTCAACTGCTGGATTGGCTTCGATACTTGGTAGCCTGGCAGCCTGTCATCATTGGCCTGGTACAAGGCATCAACTACATCCTGGGCCTCGAATAATCAGTCAGAAGAGCATCCACCCACCATGGACCTCAGGGCACACTCCTTCCTGCCCTTCAAGACTCCTGGGTGGAAAGACTCACAGGGGCACTTGGGCCACTCAGGACCCTTCCAGCTGTGTCGGGCAGGGGAGGGATATGATGGCGAGCTAGCCAGTGGGGCTGTTTGGCAGTGGGGACTTTTTAAAAGAAAACTATTTTGATGAATATATTTAAAAACCTTTTTTATTGTGGAGCATAGGAATTACCCCAACTCCTCCAGGCCTTATCCTCCCTGCTGGAGCAGGGCTGGAGCAGAGCCACAACCTTTTTGGTTTAAAGGAACCTTCTCGCCTCTAGCTGAGAGCCTCAGCCCACCCCCTTCCCTTTCTTCCCTCTGTGGGGCGCAAGCCTGGCACACTCAGTGTGGAAGAGCTACAACCCTCTTGCCTGGTGCCGCAGATGAGCACTGTGGTGAGGTGTCTTGTATCTTCCCCTGTCCAGGAGCCATAGGCTGGTTAGGCAAATGAACCTTGTGACTTCTCCAGCAAGGGAAGCCTTGGGACCTCAGAATGCATTTGAGTATTTGTTTGGGGACAGCCAGAAGCAGTAACAGTTTGGGTAACCTGCCCCAAGCAGGACTATACTCAGCCAGGAATGGAGATCATGGGGGCTGCAGTGATTCAGGGCCTCTTGTTTCTGGAAGTGGCAATATGTGTCAAAGGCCATTCTGCCACATCACTTCCTTCCCTAAAAGTCTGAGTGTAAGTGTGTATGTTTATCTGAATGGGTGTGGCAGAGGGACTGTGAGAGACGTGAGACTTCTCTTTGTCTGTGTTCCCTTAAAATGCAGGGGATTCCCAGCCCAGGGAATATCCCTGCGTCAGCCTTGTCATTCACGGGTCCTGCCTAGGACTGGCAGTGGGAGTTGGTGGGTGTGTGGTTGTGTGGAAGGAGGGTTAGGCCCAAGTAAGTATGGCTTCTGAAAAGGGGTTCAGCCCTAATCCTAGGAGTTTTGAGGAAGTAGGAGGGTAAACATGGGCCTTCCACACTGTACTCCTAGGAAATATGGCCCATCTGGGCCTACCCCTTCGAGGGAAGCAGGAACTGAGAAGGATTTTGTCATTCCGTTCTGAATAAAGCTCCATGAGCTGGGTTGGAAAGCTGAACATAATCTTGCTTTTCTTCTTCCTACCTCCTTCCCTGGGGCCCCTGGGGATGCCTTGCCTTGGCTGCCTTTTGCTGCTTCTATTTGAGAGCTGGGGTCCTGGGTGGTTGGCCCTGCTCAGCATCCTGACAGTGGTGGAATGCCGCACTCCTGTCCTGTGGCAGAAGGGGCCCTGGGGCATCACTGGGTGGCTCTGTCTTCACCACCTGAGGTCAGTGCCCTGCCACCACCCCTTCTCACGGGCCATTCTCAGCTTTGGCTCTCTTACCCAGCTGTGGCTTCCCACAGTCCCTCATTTTTCATGCCCGTCCTCAGAGTGGACTGGGAGCTAGTTGAAGGGTCCAAGGATCATCCTTTTACTTTGGTCCTCCCAATCCCCACATCGGGCTCATGTGAGAATCTGAGGCCAAGCTGTCCAAGATGCTTCATATTTCAGCAGTCCTGAGTCCCATGACCTCCTAGAGCCACTAGAGCTCAACTCTGGTCTTGGTGACATTCTGAAGTAGAATCATATCTCCTTTCCTTCTCATCCCCAACCCCCATCCCCCAAAGGACTGTGTCTCTGAGCCCCAGGCAGCCTTGCCTCCTGACAACTGCTAGAGGTGCCCTACAGCCTAGTAGCTCCTGGGCAGGAGGTAGGGGAGGGACCGAGAGCTGGAAAATGTCAAGTGGAGAACAGGAAGTATGACTTGATCTCCTGCATCTAAATTAGGAATGAGTCAGGTTTTCCGTACCAGTCCAACCCCCTTGGGATTGCAGCAGACGATGTTCTTGATGTCCCCGAAAGCCAGATCTGTGTCCTGGCCTCCCTGACTGTCCTCAGCTCTCCTGGCCTCCTGAGCACAGAAGTCACAAATCTGTCACTCAGGTTTTGTCCTTCATGCTGGATACATGCATATACATTGGATCACCAATCCTGTTCTTTCTGCCTCCATGACCCTCACCTCACCTTAGTCCTGGGCCTGCCACAGTCCCAGCTCTGTTTGTTCCTTCAGCAACGAGCTGGTGTTGCCCAAGCCAGTGCTGGGCCATCCCCCTGTCCCCTGGGGAGTGCCCTCCTTTTAGGACCAGGGCTCCAGCTCATGTTTCAAGTTCCAGCTTGGCTCTGATCAGCCCTGCAGACAAGTTTGGGAAGTGCTCTCAGCGCAGTCCCTGTGGCATGGCTCACGTGGGACCAGCAGCTGAACTGAGCTATGGAGCTCCAAGGAGGGTGATTCCGAAAAGCAGGGCTCTTCAGGCTTCTTCGGAGCCAGGTAGGGGGAATCTAGAGTTCCTGGTGACCTTACACCATAGTTCTGGCCAAGGGGCTGGGATAAAAGAAGTGAGCGGAGGTCATGGTCATTCTAGGTGGGTGTTGGCTTAGCAGTTGGAGGGAGTAGAAAGCCTGAGACAGTTCTGGATGTGGATGGGCTGGGATGATATTGAACGTGAAATGGTCAAATTGATCAACACATTGGGGTCCCCACTGCCTAGGAGAGTTGTAACCTTGAATATCAATGTGACTATGAAGGAGGAAGCAGGAGGCCTGCTCATATAGAAACAAAAATCTAGCTCTGAAGAGCAAAGGTAGATACTAAAGTCTTGACCCTTTGCTCGGATGGAAGAACTGATCTGGGAGTGACTTCCATTGGTTCATACCCCTTTTGACCCTGGGAGGGTGAGGATGTGGGCAGATTAAAGACCCTACCCAGTCTGATACTGGCTGGAGAGTAGGAGGTGCTAGGAGGTGCCAGGAAGGCTCTGGCCACTGTGAATAGTATCCCAGAGCCTGCATTAGATCTCTGGTTCATCAGAATGAAAGTGAAATAGGACTTGGGGTCCGTGCTTTCCCAGAACGATTTTACTCTATTCTGCCTTTGCCAGAACCAGCTCTGGGAGTGAGGAGAGCTCTGTCTCCCTTTGTGACGGGGTAAGTCCCTGGCCTCTCTTTGGGCCTCAGTTTCTCTGTCCCTATACTGAAGAGGTTAGGTTGGACAAAAACCTAGCATGTAAACAATGGGAGAGGAAAGGCTGTTCCTAGGTGATCCTCCCACTTTGTTTCAGAGTTCTGAAGAGCCCCAGCCTCTGCTGCATGGCTACCTTCTAGGAGCTGTCAGTAGAGAGAGACAGGACAGAGTAGATAGCAATGTCTGACAGGCCATTGAAAGTCAGACCTAGCAAGGGGCTGTGGGATCTACAGGGAGGAGAGGGCCACAGATGTGGCTGGGATCTAGGCTAGCCTCTTGATATGTGGAAAAATTATTCACCATTTTCCTCCCCCTCCTGCCCCAAAGAGGAAGAGGTCATCACAGGCATATATAGAGCCAGTCAGAAGCGTTCCAGTGCTTCTGACACACCATGACCAGGAGACAGAACTGGACACCAGGTGGGACCTGGGGCTGTGCATGGAGGGTTGGGGGGAGAGGGGAGTGGTGGGCGGTGGGGGTCCTGAGAACAGAATGGAGCAGTGCAGTTGCCCCAAGCCTTAACTCCCAGATGATTCAACTCCACTGTTCTGTTGCTTTCATCCTCCGTCCAGATGCTATAATAGCTCTGGCTCCATTCCAAAGTCTCCCTGTGTTCCATTTAAAAAGGGCCTGGATGCCCTGGCCAATTTGGCTCAGGCCTGCGGACCAGAGTCTCGGGTTCGGTTCCTGCTAGGGGCACATACCTAAATAAATAAATAAATAAATAAATAAATAAATAGGGACTGGAGGTATCCAGGCAGCAACTTTCTCTTCAACTAAGATTTAACCCTGGGTGCTGAGCATTCCCAGGAGGTCCAGGCAGCTACTGATCCCTGTGATGGTTCTTTCCTCAGACCCTAGCCTTTTGTGGGTCCTGTTCCTGTGTGCCCACACCTTCTCCCATTTGGCGAGAGCCACACCTATACCTCCGGCCATCACAGCTGCTACCGTCTCAGCGGGGATCACAAAGGACCCCTCCCTGTCTCACCCCTCAACGCTCCCAACAGCTAAGTGGTGCCCAGCATGGGAGATCTGGCCAGAAGTGGAAGTCTCACTAAGTAAGGAGCAATTCTGAAGAGCGCCCAGGAGGGCACAGTGGCTGTAGAGTAGGCTTTCACTACAGAAGGTCCAAGGGTGGGGTTGGCTCCTGAATATACCCTCTGCCTTTGTGCCGTGTAGCCCACCACCAACCTGTCCAGCTCCACTGAGCGCTCGGCAGTCTCCGTCTCCCACACAGCATCATGAGTATGGGCACAGGGCCCAGCTCCCAAGATGCTTCTTTTCAAATGGGACAGAGAGAATTCCGACAAGAAATGGTGAGACGATGCTCGAGCCTGGACTGCAGTGTGCTCCAAGGCCCAGCCCCTTCTCTGAGAGCCCAGTTGCCGTCTGGCCACCTTAGAGGACCAGTAGTCTAGGTGGGCTGCTTCCTTGGTGGGGGGTCCTGGAGTCACTGAAGCTGGGCACTAGAAAAGTCATCCTGAACCAAGGACCTGTCCCCAAACTCCTCTTGCTCAGCCCTGGGCCTCCATTGTAGACAATTGCACTGCCACTTGAACGGCCTTTCCCACCTGGGTGGTGTGCCAAGCTGTGCAGGGTGGGCAGGCCACAGGAGGGGAGGGGCTGCTCTACAGAAGGGCTGAGGGCTGACAGCTGCTGTGTCCCCAGATGGAACGCTGACTTTATCCTGTACCGCCTGCAGTCGCTTCCACCACTTCAGCATTCTCTACTGGCTGGGCAATGGTTCCTTCATCGAGCACCTCCCGGGCCGGCTGCGGGAGGGCAGCACCAGGTAAGGGGCATGGTGGAGAGGGCAGCAGGAGGGAGGCCTCCTCCTTCAGTCCTCACACCCTTTCTTCTCTGCTGCAGCTGGGAGCGCAGGGGCACCGTCACTCAGCTGAGGAAGGCCTTGGTGCTGGAGGAGCTGAGCCCTGCCCTGAGCAGCAGCAACTTCTCTTGTGTTTTCGTGGATCCTGAGCGCACTGTCCAGCATCACATCGTCCCGGCCCATCTCTTGGTGAGGGACCTGAGGGAAGGTGTCCAGGGACAGGAGGAGCTCTGCTCCAGTGTGGGGAGGAAAGGGTGGGCTCTGCCCAGAGCAGTCTGCAACTTATAGCTACCATTCCCCAAAGTCCCCAGGCCCAAGGTAAAAACTAAAAATAACTTTGGACTCAAGCAGAGGAGGCATGGCCTAGAGGAAAGTGACAAGCTCTCTCTCCCGCTTGGGCCCTGATCCTTGTCTGCCTTCACTTTCACCAGGCTGGGTTGAGGACAGTCATGCCCCCTACTCAAGAAGCCCTCGAGAGGGTCCCTTCTGCATCATCATCCTGACAGGTGAACTCTGAAGCCTGGTTGAAGCTCTTCTTTTAGGTCAAGGCTCTCTGTTGGCTCAGGCCACATTCTGTCAACTTTTGCTCACTTCATGTCACATTTTGGTAATTCTTGTAACATTTCAAACTTTTTCATCATTGTTATATCTTAGATGTTACTATTGTAATTGTTTTGGGGGGCGCCATGAACCAAGCCCATATAAGATGGTGAACTTAATTGATGTGTTCTGTTTTTCTGATTGGCTGTTCCCCATCTCTCTCCCTCTCCTTGGGCCTCCCTATTCCCTGAGACACAAAAATACTGAAATTAGGTAAATTAAAAAGCCGACAGTGGCCCCTAAGTGTTCTAGTGAAAGGGAGTCACCTGTCTCTCACTTTAAATCAAAGACTAGAAATGATTCAGCTTAGTGAGGAAGGTATGTTGAAAGCCGAGATAGGCTGCAAGCGAGGCCTTCCTCTTGCACCAAATAGCCAAGTTGTGAATGCAAAGGAAAAATTCTTGAAGGAAACTAAACGTGCTACTCCAGTGAACACATTAAGAAAACAATTCTTAAAGAGCCTTATTGCTGATATGGAGAAAGTTTTAGACCACTAAACCAGCCACATTCCTTTAAGCCATAACCTAATCCAGAGCAAGACCCTAACTCGCTTCATTTCTATGAAGGCTGAGGGAGGTGCGGAGGCTGCAAAAGAAAAGTTGGAAGCTAGGAAGGGTTGGTTCATATTTAAGGAAAGAAACTGTCTCCATAGCATAAAAGTGCAAGATGAAGCAGCCAGTGCTGATGTGGAAGCTACAGCAAGTTCTCCAGAAGATCTGGCTAAGATTAATGAAGGTGGCTACACTAAACAACAGATTCACTGTAGGAGAAACAGCCTTCTGTTGGAAGAAGATGCCATCTAGGATTTTCACAGCTAGAGAGAAGTCAATGTCTGGCTTCAGAGCTTCAAAAGGCAGGCTGATCCCTGGCGGATGTCGCTCAGTTGGTTGAGTGTCATCCTGTTCCCCAAGAGGCCACCTATTTCATTCCCAGTCAGGGCACATGCCCAGGTTGCAGGCTTGATCCCCAGTAGGGAGCATGCAGGAGGCAGCAAAGCAATGTTTCTCTCTCTCCCTCTCTAAAATCAATACAAAAACATTTCTTTTTTTTCTTTGAAGGATGAGCTGACTTGCTTGTTAGATGCTAATGCAGTTGCTGAGTTTAAGTTGAGGTCAGTGCTCCTTTATCATCTGAAAATCCAGGGGCTCTTAAGAATTATACCAAATCTGTTCTGCCTGTGGTCTAGAAATAAAACAACAGAGCCAGGAAGACAGCATGATTTACTGAATTTACAGTATGATTTACTGAATATTTTTAGCTTATTGTTGGGAACTACTGCTCAGAAAAAAAGATTCCTTTCAAAATAATGCTGCTCATTGACAAACACCTAGTCACCCAAGCCTCTGATGGAGATGTACGAGATGAAGTGTTCATGGCTAACACAACATCGTTTTGCAATCCATGGATCAAGGAGTAGTTTCAACTTTCAAGTCTTATTATTTAAGAAATGCTTTTTTTTTTTTCCAGTTGCCACGCCTACACGATTGATTGGTCAATGATTGAACCCATAACCTAGGTATGTGCCCTGACCAGGAATCAAACTCACAACTTTTTTGGTGTATAGAATGATGCTCCAACTAACTGACCTACCCGGCCAGGGCAGTGATAAACTTTTTAATGAATCATTCCTCTCAGCAGAAATTCACCAAAGAATCAAGTCTTTAGAAAAAGGAATAAATCTCTATTTGTGACATTTCAAGCTCTTACATAGGGGACAACCATTTTTTTAGGGGGAGGAGAGTCTCTTTTGAATTCAAATCATCTACACGGCATGAGAATGGGCTTTGGAAACAGACCAATACTGACAATTATGAGTTATGTGTCCTTGTGCAAGTCATTGAATCTTTCTTACTTTCCTTGATTCATGTTTTAGAGGTAACTGCCTAAACTGAGTAATGTATGGCAAGTACTGTGCAAATTTTCGAGCCTACTTCCTTGCTTATGCTGCTTATGAAACAAGGCAGTGCTGACTGAAGAGTTTTCTGATAGTAAGATAATTGATGACTTTCTCCCGACTCTAACCTAGTGTTACTATTTGAAGGACACATGGAGAACTAGTTTTCATTGCCAAACCAGATCTTGAGAACAGACTTATCTTCTTTACTTCTGTATCCTCAGAGATCCCAGCTCATAAAGTCAAGAAATACATTTCATAATGCAATAGCTGCCATAGTGATTCCTCTGACGGACCTAGGCAAAGTAAATTTAAAACCTTCTGGAAAGGATTCACCGATCTAAATGCCATTAAAAACATTTGTGATTCAAAGGAAGAGGTCGAAATACCAACAACAGGAGATGGGAAGGAATTGATTCTAATAACTTTGAGGATAAAAGACTCTAGTGGAAGAAGTAATTACAGATGTGGAAATAGCAAGAGAATTAGAATTAGAAGTAGAGCTTGAGATGTGACTGAATTGCAACAATCTCAGGATAAAACTAATAGATGAGGTGTTACTTCTTGTGGATGAGCAAAGTGGTTTCTTGGGGTGGAATCTACTCCTGGTGAAGATGCTGTGAAGATTGTTGAAATGACAACAAAGGATTTAGAGTGTTATTTAGACGATACAGCAACAGCAGGGCCTGGCCAGAGTGACTTAGTGGATTGAGTGTTGGCTTATGGACTGAGAGGTCCCGGTTTGATTCCCGGTCGGGGCACATGTCTAGGTTTCAGGCTCGATCCCCAGTGGGGGGTGTGCCGGAGGCGGGCTGATGGATGCTTCTCTCACATTGATGTTTCTATCTCTCCCCCTTCCTCTCTCTCTAAAAAAAAAATCAATAAAAACAATAATAATAATAGTAATAATAAAAGCAGGGTTTGAGAGGATTGATTCCAGCCCTGGCCATTGTGGCTCAGCTGGTTGGAGCTGCCATCAAAGGGTGACGGGTTCCTCAGTCGGAGTGTGTACGGGAGGCAACTGATTGGTTTCTCTCTCCTCCTCTCTCTAAAAATCAGTTTAAAAAAAGGTTGACTCCAATTTTTTAAATCTTTTTTTTTTAGAGAGGAGAGGAGAGAAATGATGTGAGAACATCAGTTAACTGCCTCCTACATGTCCCTTACTGATCAAGCCTGCAACATGGACTTGTGCCCTGACCTGGAATTGAACCAGCAACCTTTTGGTCACAATATGATGCCCATCCAACTGAGCCACGCTGGTGAGGGCTTGACTCCAATTTTAAAAGTTCTGTGGGTAAAATGCTATCAAATGGCATTGCATGCTACAGAGAAATCCTTCGTGAAAGAGTCAATAAATGTGGCAAACTTAATTTTCTTATTTTAAAAAATTGCCACTGCCATCCCAACCTTCAGCAGCCAACATTGAGGCAAGAGCCTGCACCAGTAAAAAGATGACAACTCACCGAAAGCTCAGATAGTGGATACTGTCGGCCCTTGTTTATCGCGGTTAATCAGTTCCAGGCTCTACCACAATAAATGACTTTTTGCGAAGTAGTATTCTTTTTTTTTTTTTTTTTTTATCCTCACCAGAGGACATTTTTCGGTATTTTATTCAGATGGAGTGGGAGGGAGGGAGAGAAACATCGACGTGAAAGGGACACATCGAGTAGTTGCTACCCACACGACCCAACCAGGGCCCGGGACAAACTGCAACCGAGGTACGTGCCCTTAGCGGGAACCGAACCCAGGTCTCTCTGGACCGCAGGCTGACGCTCTAACCGCTGAGCGAAACCGGCCAGGGCAGGATTCGGATTCTTTATTTATACAGTCATCCCTTGCCACTTTGCGCTTCAACATTCATGGCTTCACCATTTGAAAAAAACCTCAATAAGAGTGAAGCCGTGAACGTCGAAGTGTGAAGTGGCAAGGGACGACTGCAGTATTTTTTTTGCTATGACATTTTTAAATCAATGTACATTGTTGTTGTTTTTGTTTTTTTTTAATCCTCACCCAAGGACATTTTTCCATTTTTTGTTCAGCTAGAGAGAGAGAGAGAGAGAAACAACAACCTGAAGGGGACACATCGAGTCCTGCATGGCCTCCTGCATGACCCAACTGGGGCTGGGGACAAACTGCAACCGAGGTACGTGCCCTTAGCGGGAACCAAAGCTGGGTCTCTCTGGACTGTAGGCTGATGGTCTAACCGCTGGGCCAAACCAATGTACATTGTTTTTAAACGTGTTTTTGCATATTTAATAGACTACAGTATAAAGTAAACCTAAGTTTTATATATACACCGGGAAACCAAAAAATTTGTTACTTGCTTTAGTGCAATATTCATTTTATTACAGTGGTCTGGAACTGAACCTGCAATGTCTCTCAGCTATGCCTGTATTTTTCCTCCCTCGAATAGCCTGCCCCAGGGAAGGGATATGGGCAGAGGCTGCCTCTGATACACAGCTATACCTCTGTCATACCCAGCAGGGCCCACAATGGCCGTTCTTAAATCACTTCACTGAAGGCATGCTGACATCGTCTCAGTCCTTTAGGTCATTCTCCCATTCACGTAACTTGGTCCATTCTAGGAGAGACTATGGGAAGAGGAACTACTACTCAGAAACTAAAGACAAAACCAGATTCAGGGGACACAGGCCCTCAGAAAAGGACAGCCCATAATGTTCCACAAGCAAAGGCCAAAAATGGCGTATGAGAAGATCCTCTGGCCCCAGAAAAGCCAGGAGAAGGGACTTGAAAGAAGGTAGGTGGTCTGGAAGACTAAGCAGGGATAAAATTATGCTCTAAAGAGCCAAGATTGCCCACACAGATTAAGCAATTTAGCAGCCAAGGGAGAAAAATAGACTTTATTTACAAGTAATAACATTTAGAAAAGATCCGTCTCTGGCCCTTAAAAACCTTCCCCATCAATCCAGATCCCACCCCAGTACAAGTCTAGAGAAGGTGGGAAGGCCCAGGATGAGCTGCGACTGAAGGCTGTGCTTCCCACCCTCCCCCGCCCCAGCTGTTCCGGAAAAGAGCATCCTCTGGGCAACTGTGCCCTTGGATGGATGGGAGCACCTAGGAGTGGGGTGCTCCCACTAGGTCAACGCCCAGTCCTAGACTTGAAGAGCAAGGGCCCCTGCTAGGACTAGCCACCAGGAATAGCAGGGACCAGGGCCCGCTCCTCCAATGGTCCCTTCAAGATCCAGAGGCTGAGGAGTACTGAACCCAAGAACCCAGCCACTTAAAGCCAGCCTCAAATCTTGATGGAGAAGTGACTTTGCGAAAACATCAGGAGGCAAGGTAGGGAGGGGACCCAGGCTGTCCAGGCTGTAGGCCAACTCTGAAGATACATCTGTGCACCTAGGGAAGGCTCTGGTAAAGGTCCAGGCACCAGGCCATGGTGTGTCAGGTATCACGGTCTCTAGGGTTTTGGCCACTGTTGGCCTGGAAGCTGAGAGAAGGCACTGAGAGGGACAGAAGGACCAGGCAAGGGCAGCATCGGGAACACAGGTGGGGCCACTCACTGGTGCTGGTCCTTGTCCTTTAGTGCTTTGCCTGAAAGAGAGAAACAGGTCACTTGGCTGGATGAGACTTGTGATGTTGGCCTGTACCAGCTGTCTTAGGAAGACCTCCTCCTGCTCCCATAGCACCCTGACTAGGATCCCTTCCATGGCATTGCCCTGGAAAGATCTACCTTCAGGTTATCAGTTGCTAGATGTGTGTAAGCAGCTTTGGATTTTCTCGATAGGAATGGAGCTGTCTGTCTCCTCTCCTCCAATAAGTCACTGACCAAGACGGAGCACCTGCTTAGCCTCCAGCAGCCTAGCTTGGCCCTGCCCTGGAAGCTGCCCCATACTTCCCCTGTGGTTCCTGCGAGTTAACCCTCCCACTTCAATCTGTGCCTCCACCTTGCCCTTGGCCCGAGGAGTGGCAGTGGTGGCAGCGATGGCGGCAGCAGTGGCAGCGCTGGCTGTGGTGGTGGCAATGCGAGGAGAGCGACGGGTTCCACTGCGGGTGTTGGGGGAGGTCTTGGACAGGGCTTT